TACCCCATCTGTCCCAGCTGGTATGGTGTGAGCACCCGCCAGTGCAGACTGGGGTACCACAAAGTCCGGTCTCTTGCCACAGCATTTCTGTGTTGGGATATTTTTTTAAGCATGTGCCGGCTGAGGACATCTGCTTAGAGACGTTTGTCCTGGATGTTGCCTCGTTATCGCCTACCAGCACATAAAGTGCTCTCTGACAGAAAGAACAGCCAAAGCTTTTGGGTTTCTCTTCAGACAGAAGGCAACCAGAGGGGCGGGGCTTCAGGACCAGGACTCACATTACCTTAACACTCTCCTCTGAATACTAAAGCCATTACTTTACAAAGCCATTATTGAGTCATGCCTTGCCACTGACTTTCAATGCTAAAAGAGAAGTCAGTTAGAGCTTTTTAGCAGACAGTCTTCACCTAGATTGTGTACATTGCACAGTGTCACAGAGCACAGAGGGTCACCCAAGTGGATGAGTTACAAGACAGGTATCTTGGGGTGCCCACAGCAGTGCAGCAATGAGACATACATGGGGAGTCTGCAGAGTTGCTGACTGTCTTTTGATCTACACAGCGTACTATATAATTTGATAATTCACTGTGGGTGACAAACACACTCCACACTTGATGTGCTGGCCAGAGTATGTGGTCAGGTGGAGTGAAGATTTTCTCAGGCGAGATTCACGTTGGCCAACTACCATTTCCTGTGACCAAGGGGGTGTGTTGCTTAAACTGGTACATTCGGTATTTATTAGCTGACAGTATTCTTTGTTGTTGGTAAGGGTTCCTGGTCCTCTTTGGCTGGCATCCTTGGGGACAGAAGGCCTACCTTTGGTCACAGTGTCTCATTAAAACTCTTCTTTACATTTCAAAATTGAGGTGTCCCTTTATAACCCAGGCGGACCCTCCATATTGCTGGCTGTTGCTAGTACAAAAGAGACAACTCGCAAATGTTCCCTAGCTTGGCGAGCCTTCAGTCACAGGCCCGCAGACGCCTGCCTTTGTGAGTTACGCTAGCAAATTTTTAGTTTGTCTTTTGTTGTGGTGCTTAGTTGGTTGGTTTGACACAGGGTCTCAGGTAGCCCAGATTGGCCTCAAACTCACTATCGAGGGAAACCTTCACCTTCCGATCCCCCTTGTCTCTACCTCCCGAGTGCTGGGATCAGAGCTATGTTCTATCAGTGCATTTTAGGCAGAGCAGGAGATAAAGCCAGGACTCCCTTGCTGGGTGAGCATCGTACCACCTGAGCTCCGTTACCAGCCCTGGCTTTGTGTCTTAATTTCCAATCCTCTGAGCTTCGGATGTCAACTGGCACCTATGTCAGCATTTACTGAGCCTCGCGAAGAAACTCTTGCAAGTTGGCCTCTCTGTTTTAAGTGCTGTGCCCAAACCAAAGTCACTGCTTAAGATGGAGTGTGTAAAGACCCAGCCAAGCTATGATATGGTTCTTCCTTCAATGAAACTCAAGCGAGAGGGGAGCTGAAAGGTGGCTCAGTTGGGGTGGCGGTTACCTTCGTGCCCAAAGCCTTGGGTTCCATACCCAGTACCACAATAAACCAGGCATGCTGATCCCAGTGTTCACGAGGTAGAGCAAGGGGGATCAGAAGTTCTAAGTGAATGCAAGCCCAGCCTGGGTTACACACCCTGTCTTAAAATAATGAGATAGAATAACAAACTTGATGGTGAGTAAACAAAATCATAGAATCTGCAGAATGTTTCAAAATCATTGGTAAGAATCACAGTGTGATTCAGGCAGGACCCTCGCCCAGTGCTGGAGATGGCATCGGGTTCCATCTCCAGCACTGCAGAAGACCCAGACTTGAAGCGGCATCAATCGAGGCCTGACAAGGCAGGGGTTGTTCCCTCACTGACAAGCTGTGCATCTCTCCCACAGCCCAGCTCCCGGCCGGCGTCGCAGAGTGGCCGGCACTCCGTGTCCGTGGAGGTCCAAGTGCAACGACAGCGGCAGGAGGAACGAGAGAGCTTCCAGCAGGCCCAGCGCCAGTACAGCTCACTGCCAAGGTAAGCCACCCTCAGAACTGCAGAAACAACCTTCCCAACCTGTACCGGGGTCACCAAGGAGTGGGCAGTGCGAGCGTGCTTGGCTTGGGAGGGCTCCCTCTCGTCTGGCGGCAGCCTGACTAAGAGAGCCAGCGTCTGTACCTGTCCATACCCAAAGCGAAGTTTCCCCCTCTCTGAAAAAAGAGAATATAATCGTGCTTTTGCTTGCCTGGCTCCCAGGGTTCTGGGGTGACCGTTGCTGTGTGCACCCCGGCTCTGTTGCAGCAGGAACAAACCCTTCTTGCACACCTGTGGACAGATGGTCACAAACCTCATTCTAATTGCCCCCTGTCTCCACTGTTGCTCTGTGTGAAAGTGCCAGCGTCCCAGGGGTGCTTGGCTCATTTACTGGCAATCAAGCAAGAGAAGCTTAGGTGTTGGGCTCATGAGGGACCTCTGCTCTGGGTGTCTTCTGTGAAACTTCTAGAACTCTGTCACATGACTGGCCACACTGAATTCACCCCCATTTTTTTCATCAAAGTCTCCCTCCCAAGAACTAGATAGTGCAGAATAAATGCATTGAAAACCCTGCAGGTTTTCAGCCGCCTCTAAACAAGTCACATGACAGTCTGTAGACATTTGATTTTCTGTCTCAAAAGATGTATGAATTTGAGCAAAGCAGTTTGAGGAAGGTGGTGTTTATCTGTGCATTGGCTGAGCCACGTGAAAATGAACTTGCTTCACCTTCTGATAAAGGCAAGTCCCTCTATAGTCCAGTGCTCTCCATGGCAGCCTCAAGGAACCCAACACTCCCAGAGGTCAGCCAAGAGAGTGTGCAGCAAGTTCCCACCACCATGTGCGGTCGTGACACGCCCACCAGTTCATTCGGTTGTCTTTTTACAACTGTGAGGCTGTACATCCCTTGGAACACCAACCACCTCTTGCGGCTACAGAAGGATTAGCCACTGAAGTCATTTAGCCTACGCTGGGTAAGAGGCATGGAGGTTTAAGTCTATAGAAAGTTCTTTGGAGATTTCCCATCTTGTTGGTAAGCAGCTCCGACAAATGAAGGAAGTGAGAGTCACAGTCAGTCAGTCCTTCCAGGATACTTGAAGTCCAGGCATGCAGGCATCCTCCACTATTTGTGACTGGATCTATAGCCACCCAGGGTTTTTTCCCCTGGGATTTAAAGTGTGAAACCCGCTGTGGTGCTCTGTGGAGGGGCGTTTGGAAAGGACCCCTATGGGAATCTATGGGAATGCACCTAACGAGCTGAAGGCAGCTATCGCCTCCCACTGGCTGTGCTGCTGGCGCTCTGTCTCAGAGGCAAGCATGGTGATGGGATGGCTCTACACACCTGCTGTGGTCTAGCCTCCATGGTCACATTGCTGGGCCAGGGCACATCAGACCTGTGTGGTAGAGCACTAGGGGCTGAGTTCTTCTTTATATTGGCAAGATGTTGCTTCCTGTATTTCAAGAGGGTTTAAGAGCATCCTTACAAACTCAAAGAGAACTTTAACACAATTCACATCATAATGGGGGAACCTGGGCTAAGGAAAAGAGGCAGAAGATATAGGAATGGAGAAGAACATTGAAGAAAGACAGATTGGAGGGCCCTCGGTCCTTAGAAAGTTCCACTGGGGCCCCCTGGCCATATTAATTGGCCCATAGTCTTATTACTTATTACTTGTGGAGGGGCCTTCACTGGGCACCAGCTCTTGGATTCTACCCAATTTCGTCTCTACAAGGAAGGGACCAGCCGACATTGCTCTTCCTACTAAGTATCCTTGGCTCCAAAAGGTGGTCCTCATTCTTCTCTGCCCTAAATCCAGAAGCTGATATTTGACACCGACTTGCTCTCTAGATCCCACAAGTCACTTGAAGAGAGCCAGACCCTTTTCTAAGCAAATTGTATGTAATGTTTCCTTGATTGCTCCCCAGCATCCTACACAGTCAGCCACTACATCCCATCTGACTGGTGAGGTAGCTTAGGCCTGGAGAACACAGCACCCCTAGACTTCACAATGACCAAGTGACAGTCTGGTCTCAAGAACACAGACTCTGAATCTGTGTTCCTAAGCTGTGTTTCCCCATGCTGGGTGCTTAGATGTTTAGTTTTGTGTGTGTGTGTGTGTGTGTGTTCCCCATATCCTATTTCTAACCTCAGGATTTGCTTTCTTCTGTACCCGTTAATCTAAAGCAAACCTGAGCTACAAAACAGTGCCTCCTCCCACAGCATCTTCTCCTCCAGCCCTGAGACATCCCGGTGCATTTTCATAGATCTGAATGCAGAAAGAACCTGCATTTCCGGAGTGACTGCAGTACACCTTTCTATGCAAGGGACACGCAGGGTCAGGGAGGAAGGCGGCTCTAGGTCTCTGGAGACCACGGATAAGGAGGTGACCATGTGAAATCCCAGGCTCGGTGTTGACAGGCTCATCTGTCACATCTCGGGTCAGATTAGTCTGTGATTTTTTTAAGTGAAGATAATCAGTGCTATAGACAAAGAAAGCTGCTCCTCCCGTCTGAGGATTCTGCGGTGGCTCCCATGAGGAAAGCCAGATGGGAGTCCCCGTTCTTCTCAGTGGCTCCCAGTGGTGACATTGAGAGTTTAATTCATGTTTCCTCTGCCCCAGCTACAGCTCCAGCCATGTGGGAAATGGGCAGGTTCGACTCTGGGCCACATTGCCGGCATTCCGGAACATTCAAATGCTGATCGTTCTGTTCCTTTGGGAGGCACGGTGGCGTCCCATGATCTCCTTGTGAACGTGCAGTGTGGTGTGTGCTGATACCAGAGGCTGAGCCTCGCCTCTTGCCACCGATGATTTTCTTGCTGATAAATGCAGCAATAAGACATTTTCTTTATGAGTGTCATCTCTCCTCCCTCTTCCATTTTCAAGGGGAAAAATAGGGCGCATCTTCCTTCCTGGCACGCAATTGTTACACTTTATCAAAGGCAATCTTATTGCAAATTCATAGAAGTATCTAGGGCCTTGGTAGTAAATTAAAGATGTTTGAGAGTCATGTTTTCTGGAAACTGTAGCAAGTCTCTTGTAGAAGTGGTCGGATGTGAAGTTTCTGTGTGGCCTGGGTTTGTCTGCCTATCCTGGGGTAATAGAAAATGGGTTATCTAGCAAAGCACCTGGTCTTTGGTGCAGGAAACCTGTGAGATGGAATAGTGTTTCTAGACGGGAAGTTGTGCAGCCACTGACACACAGGACCCCAGAGAGCCAAGCTGAAGAAGGAACTGACTGCTGCATTATTTGCTGTGTTTGGTGACTGGTCTGTTGTTGTTCTCAGACTGTCTCCTGCCTCCCAGGCTAGTCTCAAACTCACTATGTGAACTTCCGGTCCTCCGGCCTCTACTTCCCTAATGCTGGAATAATAGGCATGCACTCACAATACCTGGTGTATGTGGTGCTGGGGATGCAACCCAGGCCTCCTGCATGCTAGGCTAGTGCCCTAGCAGCTGAGCCCACCCTAGCCCTCGGACGGCTGTACTTCCTTCTCGTCTGAGCTCATACTGTCATCCATAACATGAACTTTCTTACGGCAGAGAGCTGTCTCAGCCTCCGGATGATAAAAGTGAACCACGCGCTGTCGACTGGCAGCAGCTGGGTACTGTGATCGTTGGGGTTGTTTAGACTTGAACAGTTACACTAAAGTGAACAGCACTTATCACGCAGCTAGGCGCAGCCTGACCTCTAACACTTAACACACTTGTGTCTGTGCCCACACTACAGGGGACACGGTCGCCCTGAGCAAGAGGGGGCACCTCACGCTAGGAGAAGCCCCTGTTTCTAAATAGCTGCCGAGGCCTCTTCTGTCTTTGTTCTGCCAGCGCTGGCCTGTTCACTGAAACTGAGGACTTGCTGGGGACAGTCGTTCTTTGTTTGTGGTGTGTTCACGTGCTCAGTGCAGGCGCATGTGTGGCGGTGCACATGAGCGTGTGTGTACATGAAGGCCAGAGCACACCCTCTGGCCTCATTGCTCAGGAACTGTCTACCTTGTTTGTTTGAAATAGGGCCTCTCACTGGGCTGGAGCTCACCAATTAGGCTAGGCGGGCCAGCCAGCAAGCCCATGGATCTTGTCTCTCCCCTCCCTAGTGCCAGCGAACCTCATGGATCTTCTCTCCCCTCCCTGGCGCTGGAATTACAAATGTGTGTTACCCCACCCAGCTTTTTACATGGGTACTGTGGATTGAGCTCAGATTCTCAAGCTTGGGCAGCAAGGAATGTCAATTTTGAGATTTCCAGCCCCCACCAGTTACCTGGTGGATGACCAGGTCATGGTGATAACTGCTAAAGCCTGGGGAATCACTTAATCACCTCTCTCTCTCTGTCTCTCTGTCTCTCTCTCTCTCTCTCTCTCTCTCTCTCTCGTGTCTGACTGATTTCTTTGCTTTATTGCTAGGCAAAGCAGGAAGAATGCCAGCTCTATATCACAGGACTCCTGGGAGCAGAACTATGCCCCTGGCGAAGGCTTCCAGAGTGCCAAGGAGAACCCCAGGTACTCCAGCTACCAGGGCTCCAGGAACGGCTATCTAGGCGGGCATGGCTTCAATGCCAGGGTCATGCTGGAGACCCAGGAGCTCCTCCGCCAGGAGCAGAGGCGCAAAGAGCAGCAGCTGAAGAAGCAGCCCCCAGCCGATGGAGTCAGGGGGCCCTTCCGGCAAGATGTGCCCCCGTCTCCATCTCAGGTGGCCAGGCTAAACAGACTGCAGACCCCCGAGAAAGGGCGGCCCTTCTACTCCTGAGCCCCGGAGGAGACGGCAGCGCGTCCCGTCATGCAATAAAGGACCTTTTCCTACCTTGCGTTCTCGGAGTGTGAAAACCCTCCAGTGGTACTACAGAACACTTCTGTCGCTGGTTTCAGTGCCTTTAAGCAGCTCGAGCAAAGAAACAGAAGGCCTTAATGTCTTTGCCACTGTGTCTCAGTGTCCCTCTCATGGAAGGATTCCCCCTCCTGACAATTCCAAGTCCAAGGCACCGCCCACCTGCTTCTCCACAGTACCTGAAGCTTCAGCTCCACGTACGAGATGCCTGTGGCTTGGGTGTCACAGCTTCACCTTGGAGAGTGACCCTGAGGCTGCAGGTGCTGCTGAGCCCTTTCTCCCTGGACTCTCGGCGAGGGTGGCATCTCAGCCTCTGGTAGTTGACAGGGAGGACGGCATGCACCAGGGACAAGGACGCTCCAGGACCTGGCAGCAGGGCTGTCCCTGTTTGGGGACTCAGTCTGCGTTTCCTTTTCTGTCCGTGGAGCACAAAGTCTCCGGGCGGTAGTGAAGAAGCAAAACCATGAGTCAGTGCCATTTGGCTCTGGGGGGGGGGGGGCCCACTTTCCAACTGCCTTATAAGTAACTTCACCACCCATGTCACAACGATTCTAGTCTGTGTTTATGAATACACTTGTTCAGTCGCCTTCATGACGCTTGGGAACAAGGGACAGGGGACCCTGAGGGGGGAGGTGGGAACTGACGGGGGCGCTGCGACCCGATCTATCCTGTCCTTGTTTTACCTTATTGGCATTGCAATAGGTTGGCCAGGAAGACCCAGAGTGGGTAGGACAAGGAAAAACCAGCTTTGGGTTCTGACAAGGAATCTCAGTACAGTTTTTGAGACTGGAATCAGTATTTGTCTCCTGTAGCTGTGTGATACGCCCCTTCCTGGCGAGACCACGTGACTAAGTCATTCTGCCGTGAAGCATCAGACAGATAAAAGGAAAGCCATCCCATGTGAGAACACGCTGACGTCCCAGAAGAGCGCTAGGAGTCACATTTCCGTGCATGCTTGTGACACGAGGCCCTTGAAACTCCCGCTGTTCATCTGTTGGTCTGAACATCATGTATTGTAAACCAAGGCTGGGTTGCTAAAGTGCCTGTAATTCTCGATGTGAAAAAAAAAATCTTGAGGAAAAAAAAAAAGCTCAGAGTACCATGTATTAACAAAAAAAGAAAGAAAGGAAAAAAAAAAGACATGTATTGATACGCCTATTTTTTTTACTGGCACATTGTATTTTTTGTGTGGACTTGTTTTTAGGAAATACGCGGAGGGTCCACAGCCCGGTGTCTCTTTGCATCTGTGTGTAATGGCTTTATCTGTTAATGACTCGCCGTGGTGTTTAAGTGGTGTTTCCAATGTAAGTAAGCGCGGTGACCTTGGACGGCGGTGGCTTTCTCATAGCCTCCTTAGGCTGCGAGGAACAGCTGTCCCTGTACATATAAGACTTCTAATAAAAGGCATATTTCTTCCCGTTCTCTGAATGTCTCTCGTTTTCCTGTCTAATCTCTCCTAGCTGCTTTTTTAAAAGTATATTAACAGATGTCTTTTTCTTCATATTTAGTGAAAGTAGAAAGTTTCCTCCTATCTCTGCAAACACAGGGTTGAGTGGGGGAGCATTTGACCACCCACGGAGAGGGAATGGGGAATAGGAAAGACTGGAGCTTCATTTTCTTTCTGTCATTTACATTTTTTATTCAATTAAAATTTATTATATCTTTTCCTCCCTCCTTCCTCCAGCCCCTCCCATACTCCTCCACTCTCTTTCAAATCCATGGCCTCTTATTTTTTATTATTGTTGCATGTATATGTGCATGTGCATGCCAATAAATATATAAATGGAGCCATTTATTAATGAGGATTGTGGAAGACCTGGAGAGCCCAAAGGAGCCCCTGGGAGGTGTGGGCTGAAGGACTAAAATAAAGGGAAGGGCCGTGCAGGACACCACATATGTCCATGGCTGCCTTTGGTGGTCGTGGCAAAGACTCTCACCAGACAACATCAGATGAGCACCCCTACCTGTGGGTGATTACTGACTCCCACCGCCGTCCCCACCCCACGGGCAGTAACCAGCACCCACTCCTGTGGCTTGTGACCGAGTCCCCCCCATGCATCTGAACAGGAGGGCTTCTGATGAGTGACCAGGAGGTGGCCTCAATGCACTAACCCTGTGGCCTTCCAGCCAGCTCCCCTATGCCTGGGACTTCACGCGAAAGTGCACCTGTTAGCTACACTGTCGCGGGCACAGGCCCACAGTGAAGACACCTGGGATTCAGTTTGTGCATTTCGATATGCTTCTGCCTCATCCTGCGAGTCCTCAGAACCACACACACACACACACACACACACACACACGCACATGTGCACGCACGCACGCACGCAGGCACACGCGAGCACACGCGCAGTCAAAGGCAACCTATGACTAAGCAGGTATGGCGTGATCCCTCCTTAGTTCATCGTCACAGGAAAATGTGTCGCAAACCTTGCAGGCCACCTGGGGCTGACAGAAGTCCCCTCCCTTAGAAAGCACAGTGTACCTGAAATTCAAATGTCTGCCGGACACTCTCTTTCTATTTTCTTTTATCCCCCACTCTTTGAACAAAGATTGCTCCAGCGGTGACACATGAAGCAAGGAGATAATCTTCTTTTCTACTTCAGAGCTGGTCTAGCATCTTAATAAGGCAGCTAATGAGAGTGTCCCCAGGTCAGAGAGTGTGAGTGCAGGAGGGGCGGCTCTGGTGGAAAATCACGTTTGGTTCTGAGTAATGACGACATCAACAGCTGAACCAACGCGGCTTGAAAGCCATGCGAGGGTGAAGGGTGAGCTGAACATTAACGTTCTTTCTCTCTGTTTAAAAGCAAGGGACTGCTAGCCTCGAAGTTCTGGGCAAAAGGTGAGGCTGGTGCCCTCCATACGGAGGACTTCATACTAGATAGATTCTTGTCACCAGTTACCTTTCCATCACACACAGACACACACACACACACCATATAACACACATCACACCACCCAACATACAGACCACACATACACATCTCACATTTGGGGCAATGTAGGAATCTATAGGTGATCATAGTCCCTAAATTTAATTTCTTTTTTTCCTCCGATGGTGCTGAGTATGGAACCAAAGGAGTCCCTGGAAGCCAGAAAAGGATATGGGATCCTCTGGACCTGGAGTTTGGGACACTGGTGAACTGCTGTGTGGTTGCTAGGAGACACACCTTAAACGTCTGGCTAAGAGCTCTTACTTCCTGGCATCTTGCGAAGTTCCCCAGGCTAGCCCGCTACTTTCTCCACTCTGTGGCTGGGGCAGGGTTTGAAATTTCCAATCTCCTGCTTCAGCTGGGATGACAGGTTTGCATTCCCAGGCCTGGCAAATGGATTTCTTTACATTACACCCTATACTAGTGAATTTCACTGTTGCAGGTCTCTTATGATTTCTGTAAGCTTTGCCAAAGAATCATTTTGTCATACCGCCACCCCTGCCCTGTGTCTGTCTATCTGTCTGTCTCTGTGTGTGTGTGTGAGAGAGAGAGAGACAGACAGACAGAGAGAAAGAGAGACAGACAGGCAGACAAAGAGACTGATTTCAGCTCTAAATCTCTTTTTGTCTTCTCATTTGCTTCTTTGCTTTTTAGAGCAAGCTCTCCCTCAGCTGGTGCTCAGGGGCAGGGACGCTGGTTGAGGAGGGCAGTGCAGGAACAAAGCCCACTGCCCCACACAAGAGCTCTGGGGAATTGTTCTTCCAGCCTCCTCTTCTGCTCCTAGGATCAATTAAATGTGTGAAAAACACCCTTTCCCTGAATGGCTCAGGGAAGTGCTGGCTCATCTCACACCTTTGCTGGCTTCCAAAAGCCTTTTACAGCTCGGTCCCTGTGGAGCTATGGGTGTCTCCTCCTGAGCCATTCTGCATGGCGGCACCAGCCTCCTAGAGCATGCTGAGGCTTCTAGCAAGGGTTTTATGAGGTAAATATTTTAAGTACAACTTTGAAGGTTTTGCTGTTTAAACAGTCTAGCCTGGCTCAGGGCCCAGCGGATCCTAGCTGCAAGTGGGGAAGGGACGTATAATATCGCTTGCAATGACCAGGAGATAAACAACCCAAATATCTGAACAAGCCCTGACCTTGGCTAGTGGCCTGGTTTCAGGGTTCAGCTCTTGTGAGACTTGCCCCCACATTGAGCTCCCAATGGCAGCGGCGGCAGCAGTGGCAGCGGCTGGGGCTCCCTTCTATCATGATTCGGTGCAAACCCTAACTTCAATCCACCCTTGTGCCGCAAAGCTTTCATCAAAAACAAAGACCTGGAGCTAGCCTGATGGGTGATCCCAGCGGCTCCTAAAGCTGGAGGACCACAGTTTGAAGGCCTGCCTAGGCTACTGAGACCTTGCCTTCAGATAAAGATGAAATAGAGTTAGGAACTTGGGGCAGTGCATATGGGAATCCCCAGGCTTGCAGAGGTAGGGAAAGGTTACATCTTTAAGTAATTTTATGTCTGTATTTAATGGTAACTGCTTTTCATTCACCAGGAAGCAAAGCACGACAAAATATGAGGAGTTATGAAGTTAGTGATGTCTTTTTATTGGACTGGGGCTGCAACTCTCTGATATAGTACCTGCTAAGTATTTCCTGGCCAACAAACCTCTCCGCCAACGCAAATAATCCCAATCAGACCAAATCAGACCGAATTAAAAGATACCAAGGTTTAATGGGTGTCAATGCTCCCGGGTGGCCCTTGGGAAAACACAGGATGGGGTAGGGAGACCGAAATGACCACCAGAGAGGGAAAAGGGGAGACCACCTGTTTGTTCTCTGGGGGATAGTTTAAATAGCCGGTGGGAGTGGTCTTGACCTTCCCTGGGGAGGGTGTTGCCGTTTGGCAGGCTTTCTCGGAGGTGGAGTTGGACTGAGGCAACTCCCAGGGAAAGGGAGCTTTAAAATGGAACTTTCCACCAAACATTCCAAAAATGGATACCAGGGGGCTGGGGCGAAGCCCCCTAAGTAAACAGTACCCACCTAGAATGGGCAAGGCCTTCCCTGGGTTCAATCCCATGTATATAATATGTACAAATACATACTCTGACATGTATGCACATATGATGGCCTTTTCACACAGTGTCCCGTATTGAAAATGTTTGCTTCTTACTGGGACTTCTGAGAAGTCACTCTGAAGCCATCACATGTTGTGGAAACCTATGGACTCCTTCCAGAGTAATATGATTTGATGGAACAAGACTCCCCAAAAGGTTTCCATGAATACCCTCAAAAATTGCTTCACCCAACAAAAAACAGGATGCAATTTGTAGAGAACTACACCCAAATTCCCAAATATTGTTTATAAATGTTTGTTTTCATTTAAAGGGGGATATGATATAGAGGTGAATACTTTTATTGGTATGGATCTTGGTCTATTGATACATATTTAAGGTCAATTTTGTTATATGTATTTCTGCGCTTGTTTAAGGTATTGTGTGTTTGTGCAGCTCATTTAAAATGTAATGTGTAGTTTAAAGAAAAAGATTAATAGATAGTCTTTTTGTTTTTTTGTTTTCAAGACAGGGTTTCTCTGTAACTTTGGAGCCTGTCCTAGAACTAGCTCTTGTAGACCAGGCTGGCCTCGAACTCACAGAGATCTGTTCGCCTCTGCCTCCCGAGTACTGGGATTAAAGGCATGCACCACCATCACCCAGTTTAGATATTCATTTATAATAGTCAAACTTGTAGTCATGTTAGTTTGGTTTTCTAGATGTACAGAGAAATATTTCAGATGGATAGGTATTCTTTAAATCTTTCAAAGATATACAGAATATGGCATTTAAAATGTTTTTAGAACATAGACTTTTCTTGACAATGAGACACATCTGCTCCTGGCAAAACCAGTTTACTTCAAAAGAAAGATGGACATCAAAGAGGCTCCTTATGGAGTTTGTTAGCCCTTTGGGCAAGAAACTGCTCTTGCCTGAACTGCTTGATGGTATGTTGTATGACTGGACATGCAGGACTTATAGAAAAAAACTCATAAACTTGTGTAAAGGTGAGATAGTCCTTCAGGTTTCCTGCTTCATGAAAGAATCTGACAGACATCCTGCAGGATACAGAAGAAAGTGACTGACAAACTGTCAATAGAGGCAAAATAGTCTTTCAAATTTCCTGCTTCGTGGAAAAGCCTGCCAGATACTATGGACCTGTAGGCTGAAGATAGATACCCCAATGTGACAGGAGCACTAGGGTGACTGTCCAGGCAGTGAGATGTCTCTGTCAATTCTAGAGTGCAAGTTAACTCTCTGTTAATTTAGGTGATATTATATCCTTCTGGGGTCTTTGAAGAGTTGAACAAAGATAGTTATAGTTTTCCTTAGTTATGACAAAGGATAAATTAGATATAAAACTTTAGACTCATGAAGATAGGATAGATAATAGAGTATTTTCCTTAATTTGTCTAATGTAAATGGACTAGATATTGTAACTGTAATTGTTGCTTGATAC